GCCTACTGGTGTTGGCCAGAGGGGCCGATGGCGCGATATGGCAGCCTCGCTTCTGTCAGTCTGCCCCAGGGCAGCTGTGGCTACAACTGTAGCTGCCTCCACCAGTGTGTGAATGTGAGAGTTAATGAATAGTGGTATTGTAAAGCGCTTTGGGTGCCTAGAACAGCGCTATATAAATGCAATCCAATCCATTTAACATTTTACTTCTCAACTTATTTTATACACTGACTCACACAATTATTCAACAAATTATATAAAAAAAAGTGTAAATTCACTATTTCACTATTTCATGCCATAAGGCAAGCCTATTCAAATGGCGGCCCGCGGGCCACATGCGACCCAGAAGCAACCTGCGAGTGGCCCTGCCTGTGGTCCTGGCAGAAACACAGAGAAAACGCAAAAAATTAATAAATTAAATAAAAATTACAAATTCCTACAGCGTAGACTGTGAATGCAACACTCCTAGTAGCCTAGCAATATTTAACCTACAATGCACCGTGATGTAAACATATTAAACTATCCTGGTAATGTATGATGTGACAACAGCTTGTCTTTCTCAGTCCAAAAGTGTAAAATTGACAAATGAAAACCGTCGGTTTAACCCTGCCTGGACTGACAAATACTATAATATTATTCACTTTACTGCCAAATCCAAATGCCAAACCTATGTGTTTAATTTGCAGTGAATGTGTTACGGTACTTACGAAGGCACCACAATGACAAACACCAGACTTCCTGCACAAACTTTCCAGAGCAATCTTAGGAGAGGGCTGCAAAAGTACAGTTTAATTGTGAGTTTAACAATCTTACAACCGGAGTTGTGCTACCATGGTGAGGGTCCTATACAGCCTAGAGCTGCAGCAGCTTCCCTTCGTGTTTGCTGGATCTTGACGAAGAAGAAAAGGCCTTTCACAGATTCTGAAACAGTGAAATGCTGCATGCTGCCCATGGTGGATGCGGTGATAAGTGACGAAAAAATTAGAGTAAGTGTGACATCTGCTATTGAAAACGTACCCCTGTCAGATATGTTCAAATATTCGTAGAGTTGAAGTTCTGGCTTCAGATGAGCTTGAAATGCTGTTAGATGACCTGAAGAAAACTGATGTAATGTCTATAGTAGGACAGACATTCATTCACAGACAGAACTGATAATGCACAGTTGTGCATATATGTCCATTTTGTGGATGGCAAATTGCTCGGCTTACTACTGTGGGACACACAGCTGGCGAATTAATGTTCAAGAAGATTTCAGCTTTTTTTTTTGAGGAAAATGGTCTGGAAATGAAGCGTGTCTGTATACTTGTGACGGGGTGCTCCATCCATGGCCTACCCTACCCTAACCCATGAAAAATGAGTGGTCAGCAAAATATTTATTTTAATTTGAAAGGGAATTATCAAAATGTTTTTTGTTATTATTTGAAATGTGCAAAAAAAAAAAAGGTTTGAATAAAAAATTACTTGTTTTTCAATACAGTTGTGTGGGTTTGAAATTGATCATGATCTGCTGCTTACTGGCTGCAAAAAAATATCTGGCCCAGATAAATTCCTCGGTTTGAAAATCTGTCCCAACTAACCTTTTAGTTGAATAGCCATGCCATAAGGGGTAAATAGTCATCAAAGGCACTATTTATTGCCAACTACAGGCTAACATATAATGCAAATGCAGATGTAGATCAATCAGCAGTACTACTGGATTCTGTGACTTTATCAAAACCGTGTGTGCAGACAGGATGTGGACCCAAATGCAGGACTCGGGAGACTGATATAAACTTAAGGATCTTTAATGATAATTTCATACAAGATAGAAAACCACCACAGATCAGCCACAGACAATCTCAAAACAATAACTCATTCACACACAGGGGAGAAAACAGTTATCGACACGAAAAAGGACAAGCAGAGACTGAGACAATAATACACAGCAGATAATGAGGGGAGAGGAAACAGGTCAGGACAGCTGAAACTAATCACAGAGGATGAGCACAGGGGAAGTAGAACTAAACACAAAACACGAGTCACAACAGAACATCAGAATAAATCAGGAAATAACAAACACTGAGACCAAGACTCAAAGATATGAAGTTGACAGAGACAGAAGACAAACATGAGACTGAAGAACAGAATGGAGCACAAAAGGAGATCAACAAACCTAAAACCACGAGGACGTCATAAACCCACAAAACACAGAAAGAATCTGAAGATCTTTGAACAGAAGCTCAGAATTAAAGACATCAAATAACTCAAAGATCATTTGTATCATTTATAAAGAAAATAAAAAGGAAATAACAGGAAGTTAAATATCAACAACCCAGAAAACACAACCATAATCCAAAGTTCAGCAAAAACACAAACGTAGAGAAAATCTAAAAACAGTCAAAGACTCGGGGACCATGACAGACCTTTCTACCCAATGATGTGTCTTCATGTCCACATCACTTCCTCTTTTGTTAATGTATATTTTCCTTTTAAATTAGCAGTATTTACATTTCTCAGTATTTCAATAATCACTCTGCTTTTACAGTATTTTTTTATCATTGTAGTGTTTTTGTCTGCATTTCATTCATCTGCAACAAACTATTCTGTGTCTTTAAATGTCCACTAGGTTGCATTGATCCACAGTAAACATGGAACATAACATTATACATTAAACTCCATCATTTCCTTGATGGCAGATTTTGAATTCACAGACATGCAAATCTTTAAAAAGCACAAATATATGTACAATATATATATATATATATTTAATATAATATATATATAATGTATGTATGTCTCAAATAATGATGTGTGTGTGTGTGTGTGTGTGTGTGTGTGTGTGTGTGTGTGTGTGTGTGTGTGTGTGTGTGTGTTTGTGAATTTTTAAATTAATTAATTTTAAATTAAAAAATGTCGAGTATCAGTATTGTTGTGTTTACTCAGTAAAAACACTATATACATACACAATATATTTCTTTTACCAGGTTATGGAATTGAAGTACATTCTTTATTTTATGTGGACATATTATTATAAATCAGTAAAGATGTTTTATTGATCATGAGGGTTTCAGAGTGACTTGCAACCATAGTGACTGAGCCTGACATTTGTCAAGAGTTCAACAGTCTTTACATTTGTGGCTATTTATCCATCTGCTTGTGTAATAACTTTGTTATATATAAGCGTCACTAACTAAGTTTAAGTTTAAATCTTACTGTTTAGAACAAATAAAATTATACGTCTCATTATTCCTGCGACTGAACCACTCATGCTGTCCTCCTCTGTCCACGCCTACAGACATGTCACACCCTTCAGTCTTCCCCTCTGTGGCCCACTTGTCATAGCAGACTACGTAGTCACTGACCCACAACCATAATCCCAGAGTGCATCTGTAGCTCAGTCCGATCCAAACGTAGGGACTGTCAGCATTCTTGGCTGTTTCCTGGACCCATCCCTGCACCTCAGGGTTGGTGATAGAAACCAGCCCCTTGTAGTTGTTTTCACAGTAATTCAAGGCTTTTTCCCAGGTCTTGTTTTCTTTGATCAGGATCAATTTGTCTGCTATAAAAACAAAATGTACAACAGACAGTAATGACTACACAAACACATCATAATGAATCTTTTCAGTAATGACAGCGGTATTTCATTTTGGAAAACAGAGAAAACGTTTGTACAAACTCACCATCATAACAGAAGAAGGGTTTTTCTTTGTCACATTCATCAGAGCTCCATTTTCCTGATCTGTTTAACAGAGTCATAGCACATGTCTTGCTGTTTTGTTCATCATTGAATAACTGCATATCCCAGTATCTGAAAGAGAAATCACTCCCATCTGACCACCTCCAGCTGTCTCTGAACAGACCGACCCATGCGCCAAAGGTATAGTCGTTAAACAGAGCCTTCATTTCTTCTCCATCTACCTGATCGAGTCCACTGGCCAAGTCAGTGTGATTTGATCTGCAGTAGCTCTGAGCCTCTGTCCAGTTCATAAGTGTTCTAATCAAATGGAATGTTTTATTGTCTTTCTTCATTCCTGTGAAACAAACAGAAAAACACACTCAATTATTTGCCTCCTGAAACTCTACGTCGTTTTTCTGAAATCACAATTATTTGATTTCTTTATGTTTTCAAATCACAATATTATAATATCATTTAAAATTATCTCCTCACCATCATAGCAGATGAACCATCTAGGATGGGAACATGAAACATCTGCCAGCTTTTTATCTCCATTATCGTATCTTTTCCTCACACAGTTTCCAGGCTGCTCAGAACCAGTTCTTCCACTCTGATTCCAGCTGCTGTCATTATGAATGTATTCCACTCCTGGCAGAGACCAACGCCACGTCCTGTTTCCACCTGTGTTGGTGTTCAGTCCAATCCAGGCTTCTCCTTGATTCTGTGCAGAGTTACGGAGTCTGCTCATGTCTGTCATGTCAAACACTTTGGCCAGGTCTGTATATTTCTCTCTGCAGTAT